GGGTATATAGACGCATTAATTAAAGAAATAATTATTCACGTCTTACATTGAGTATACAAGCTCTCGGCTTCGTTTCTAGCCACAGTTGCAAGTCAGTTTCGTAATATAATCGCTTGATGCTTTTTATTTTATGACGTGGGCGGTAACCCGGAAATACTTGCTCCACTTTCTTTCTTTGGGTTACATTGTATTGCAGTCGTACGTAAGGCAGTGTGGTACCTTACTGCTAGGCCTAGGCTTTGAACCGGTTTCATCATCATTACAATATTGGTGATGAAATACTGTTGATATCGTTTGTTTCATTCGTTCTTAAAAGGAATCTCACCAGGCTGCTTTCCAAGCAAGCGATCTGCGTATCTGTTTTACATTGAACAGTTTTACTCTTGCAAAATATGGCCCAAATTGAGGAGCAGGTGGCAGGATTATCGATGGGTATGTCAGTGTCAGTGACAGTGTGTGGTGATGTTGTTACAGTTAGGCCCAGCATCTAGATATAGATTCTAGATCTAATCTAGATCTAGATCTAGATATAGATCTAGATATATAGATCTAGATGTAGATCTAGATTAGAATCTATGATGATACGCATTGCGATGATGATATTGATGGCAAAGAAGCAAAGTAGGTTGAGTAACCACACCCGCCATCAAGCTTTCTATTTCTGTCGCTATTGCATAGCATGCTATGATTACGTGGACGCTTGTTGGGTGCTTTTTCGGTAGTTCCCACCCCCCTTATTTGAGCCTGACCTACATCTAAATCTAGATCTAGATCTAGAATCTAGATCTAGAATCTAGATCTAGATTCTAGAATCTAGATATACGTTTGATTCGCGGTGAGCTAAGACGCTAAGATATCAAACCTAACAACTGACAAACATTAAAGGGAGTGTATACAGACCCGGTAACCAGGAATAAAGTCATAAATAAAGTATACAGACCGGGTAGGGGAACTCTTTTGTGATTTCGGAAAGTTTCAGCACCCTCTTGGCTTAGGGTAGAACAAGCTAGATCTAGATCTAGATCTATGGCCTAGGTCTAGATCTAGATCTAGACAGACAGATATAAATCATTGATCTAGTTTCGAGGCTAGCCTAGATCTATATTTAGATCTAAAACTAAATGAAGACTGCGGATGTCTTTCGTTTTTCCCTTGTTTTGGAGTTGGGGGAATCACAATTTGAAGAAAAGAACAATGTCATAATTTTAATCGAGCAGTCACCCCCCCCCTCTCTCTCTCTCTCTCTCTCTCTCTCTCTCTCTCTCTCTCTCTCTCTCTCTCTCTCTCTCTCTCTCTCTCTCTCTCTTCC